CAGTCGCAGCGGATGCACTTGATCGCGGTACCAGCCTTGTGGGCGGCATCCACGACCATGCGCTTGACGACCGCTAGCGCCTCCGACTTACGCCGCATGGCGTAGCAGACCATTCATCCCGTGGCGGCGTCCACACCGAAGAGCATATAGTGGTTGCCACGGATCGTCGCCGTGTACGCGCCGCAGAGGTCGATGTGGAACACGTCGTTCNGATCCAGAGGGTATCGCAGTCGCAGCGGATACACTTGATCGCGGTACCAGCCTTGTGGGCGGCATCCACGACCATGCGCTTGACGACCGCCAGCGCCTCCGACTTACGCCGCATGGCGTAGCAGACCATCCATCCCGTGGCGGCGTCCACACCGAAGAGCATGTAGTGGTTACCACCGATCGTCGCCGTGTACGCGCCGCAGAGGTCGATGTGGAACACGTCGTTCGGCGCCCTCTTGCCGCAGTACCCGCCCCCCTGCTTCGGCACTGGCGCCCTCGTCCCTCGCGCCGGCAAGCACCATCGACAGCTGTCCATCGTGCCCGTGAGGGTAATCCCGTGCTGCTTCGCGGACAGTCTCAAAATGGGTTCGGACAAGTGGCCGGCACGGTTGTGGAACGTGTTACTATCCATAACCTGTTGTGCATTGCCGATATTGAAAGGTGTCTTCCCCGGACCCAACACAGCCATGGCGCGTTCACACTCTTCACTCTCCCACACATCAATCATCTTCGCCGCGTATTCCGCTACAGCATCCGTCACACGGGGGGGTTCTACATCGGAATCCATCGCGGCTGTAAGAGCCGATGCCACAAAGGAAAAAAAACTCTCACGGGCACTCTCATTCGCAACGTCCATAGAAGGCAGGGATTTGTGGGGAAGGCGGGTTGCAAAAAGGGAGTCGCTCGAAACGCCACGAATAAAACGCAGTTTTCCGTGCATCATTTGCGTACCGTTGGGGTTGATACGGACCTCATGCTTGTGAGACACCTTCCATACCGAGAAAAGGTTGAAACCACACCCGGGTACAAACAAAACTTCTGGCACAGTGACGTCCAAATCCTCCTGTTTCCCGTCGGCTCCGATTTGGTGGAACCTAAGGTCCAAACTCCCTACAGCGGCAACCTTGATGAGAGCCGAGTCTCCAATCTGAATAAATCGTTCATCCGGGCCCAAGTGGCGTACATTGTACATTGCATCCACTTTGTTAGTAATCATCGCACTAGCTCCAGAATCGGCCTGCCATTGTTCGCTACAAATCGGATTCGGCATGGAGGGTTGGCACAAGAAAGCTTTCTCAACCGTGGGACGGCGGGTGAGACGGGCTACGACAACCTTTCCAGGCACACTTGGTGGAGCAGGGACAGATGCATCACACTCCGGAACGCCGACCACTTCATCAGGACTCTCAAGTGCAGCGGGCACGCGGGGTACATCATGAGTAGACACACCAAACTTCAAGACACCGAACTCATCATCAGAACGTTCATGCACAGCAGGCACGCGGGGAACACCAGGCATTGACACATGAGACTCCGCACTCGTAAACACGTCAGACTTCGAAAAAACAACATCCTTCTCAAAACCAATCTCAGACTTGCCTCGAGGGCACACGCCACGTGCCACGAAGAGATGCAGGGGGAATCGCCCGCTGGAGGTAGAGCGTCGCCTGGAGCTGGAGAGGGAGAGAAGGAGGAAGAGGTCGCCTGGGGTGCACCGTAGTGCTGCTGCTGCTCATGCTGCTGCGAGGTGTCGAAGGCCTCGTAGGCTCGCGGTTGTTGGGCGTCCGGTCCGGCAGCAGAAGGATAGTGTGGTACGTTGCTCACTTCTTGCTGCTGGTAGAGCCCTCCGCCGTCGGGCAATTGGTGGAAACCGTATCCCCCGCCGGCGGCGCTGCCGTAGGGACCTTCGCCATGGTCCACTCCGTGAGCCGCGAGCCCGTACTCGTAGCCTGCCTCAGGAGGTGGTGGGGTCCAGCCGGGTGTAGATTCGGGCGCTGACGTGGCCTCCCATCCCGAGGTGATGTCGCCGCCTGATGGTTCTCCACCTCCGATGGCGAAATGAGCCGGAAAATAGGGCCGCGGTACGTTAGCAATCTGCGCGGGAGGACCGTTGGGCGGCGGATAATTACCACCACGGCCGCCCACCTGACGACCTCGGCTCTCCGGGGGGGAAAGACCGTATCCACCATACCCACGCCCCCCAGAGTTGCGCCCCTGCAGCTGTCCTCCATTCCGGATCCTTGCCCACGCGGCGGAGAGTGGCCCCGACTCCAGCCCGCACCTTGCTCGTTTTGGTACGGCTGCTGTCGATATGGGCCACCAACCATCCGCCCCGAGTCTTGGGCTCCGCCTCGAGGGAAGACCGATGCCTGGGCCTCCCGCCTCCCGCTCATGTACGCGCAGAACTCGTTGTAGTGGGCGAGGAATTCGTTGCGTAACTTGTGACATTCGGAGGTCTCGTGGGTGCTGTTGGGGCCGTGGAGCTGGCAGAAGTGCGATGGTTGCTGCTGATGTGGCTGCATAGACCTTTGTGGTTGCTGGAGTCGATGTCCGCCTTGCTCCGATCCTGCAGCGGCTGGTTTCCCCGCCTCGCCGCCCCGGCCCACACCGGCAGCGACGAGGGCGTGCCTCATCTCTTCCTTTCCCTCTCCAGCTCTCCGCTCGTACCTCAGCACTCTTCCAACCTCAGCATCTCCTGTAGCCCTCGGCAACATCGAATCAAACAGAAGACGGTCTTGAGTTTTCTCAAACGTTGGGAGAAATCCCCGGACTATGTGCCTGCACATCGACTTGTCATCCCTGTTATCACCATACGATTGAAGTCTCATCCACAGCGGAACTGCCCTAACGTAATAGTCCATAAGACTCTCTCCTTGCCTCTGGCCTATTACGTTCCATGCGTCGTCAAGAGTTTGTCGCTCCTGACTCTTGTCCTGGCTGTATTGTTCGAGAAACACGCGGTACCCTGCTTGAGGTGATTCTGATGCCAAGATTTGGGCTTGTACGGGTTGTGCTGTGATCTTAGCTAGCATAAACGTCCAAATCTTCCTGGATTGCTTCACTCTCTCCTCTCCGAACGTGCTCCTCAACCAATTCAAATCCACACCAGCTGCACCAACAGGGACCTCTGAACTCCTCATCACACCAGCAAGTCCCTCACTCTCTAGCCACGCTTCAATAGCACTCGTTAACACTCGCAATGCAACTTCGATTGATCTGTTCTTCAGATAGTCATCACTCCATACTGGTACATCTATCTTTTCTCTCTGTCTCAGTTATAAGATCTGGTTGCTAGACGTGCCTGAGTGGGCACGGTGCCCCTGGTCATGAGTTGATGTCGCGAAGGCCTGCTTGAAGAGGTCAACCAGCTCACGCATCGTGTCGCGCTCATCTTTCCCTCCTGCCGCTCGCGCACCCCCTCAGTCTCGTGCATCGTTGACGAAAAAAGAATCGCTCCCTCCTCCGTCCGCAACGCCTTCCCCGGGTGGAGGGACAGCCTGACCTGATCCCCCCGGAGGTTGTCGTCCGTCTCCGTTTACAATTGGGTGTGGAAAAACGAGTATACGCCAAGTAGATGGAGGGAAGGAGTGGTTGTGAACTTGTTTAAGAAAGGAAACAAGACTGACCCAGGAAACTACAAGGGGATCACACTGTTGAACACAGCTGTAGTAGGAAAAGTGTTCTGTAAGCTGCTGAACGATAGGATAGTAGGAGTATTGGAGAAGGAACATAGCATTGTTGAGGGCCAGGGAGGTTTCCGAAAGAACAGGGGGTGCGTAGACCACGTATTCACGGTAGGGAGAATCATCCAAGGTAGAAAGA